CGTGGTGGTATCTCTAGCACTTGAATACGCTATCTGGTGGATAAATTCAAAATTAGAGTAGATAAATCGAATTGCTACGCCACGTGGTGGGATCTTTAGCACTTGAATACGCTATCTGGTAGCTAAATTCAAAATTAGAGTAGATAGGTCGAATTGCTAACGCCCTACGCCTCTGCCAGTGCCATATTTTTGTATTATTTTAGTTTTTTCATTTATATAAATAATATATAAAAGATTTTTCCTTTTTTTATTTTTTTTTTTTTGAATATGATAATTAAATATAAATAATGAAAAAGAAATATATTGGCAAACATGCAATATCGTTTTATTTTATTTTTTTTGTATTTACATGCGTTGAACCCGATGAATTTGGAGATAAGTACATCATCGACTACGTCAATGCCAATGACGACACACCATAGATCCATTTCCGGAGAGAATCCAATTTATCGTCTGAATGGTGCTAATGGACAAGCTTGCATACTTTTGCAAACAGATGCCGTTATTGCAATCAAATATCGCACCATTTTGGGAGAAGATAGAGTAAGAACATTAATTATATTAAACAATTCAAATTTATTAACTAAATTAATCTTAATAAAATTTATCTAGATATGTTCTAATAAATTAACATTAATCAAATTTATTTGACATAAATCCTAGTAATGGGAAATTTTCAAAAAAAAAAAAAAAACATTTTATGCTTACTCACACAAATCTAACCTATATTTGTATAGATGTGTTTTATTTGTATATATATATATATACGTAATAAATATACGAGTATATACATTGTTTGAAAAACTTTGATAAATTTTCCTCTATCTCATTTCCCAGGTGGCAGATTTATTTGTTCCCGACGATGCAACGGTCAACGGAAATTGTGATAATGAAAATACAGTAACAATGTCCTTGAAATGGGATGCATTTGTACTCTTCTGGAGTTTTGCCAAGGTATTATTACTATCATTATTTGTTATATGTTATTTTTATTACTATCTTAAAAAAATGATTAAATTTTAAACCATTTACGTTATTATCGTATAAATACGATTTTTATTAATAGGTTATGTTGTGTCACTTTGATACGTGTATGTGTTGAACTGTGTGTACTAACAAAGTATTATCAGGTCACTGCTAACGAGTTAATTGCATTTCCGTTTTTATTTTATATTAGATTAGTTTTGGTAAACTTTTTATTAGATTAGTTGTGGTAAAAAAAAAAAAAAAACAAACAAACAAACTAATAGAACAAAATTTTTCAATTCCTCCAAGCCATTCCACCCACGCATGATGAAACAATCAACGACAAAAAATAAAAGCTTTCAATAATTTTTTTTTTTTTCTTTTTTTTTTTTTTATTAACGATATCTCATTTCAATTTAGCAAACTTAACTTGTAAAAGTTTTAATGAACAATAAATTTATTTCACGTTGAAACACTGACAAATGAATGAAATTTTTATTCGTTCTCACAAGTCACATAAAGATGAACAAAACAATAACAAATGTTTTTACTAAAATAAATAATAAATAATATTATCTTCTTAATATATATATATATATAAATTACGTGTCACGTTGTTTGTCCGCAATAGAATCCTAAACTACTGAACCGATTTGAATCAAATTTTGCACAATGTGTGCACTTTCATCCAACTTGAAAGATAGGATAGTTTGTATCACAATTTATAATCGAATTGTTTGTTTATTAACAAAGAGTCATAAGTATCTCTGTTAGTTCGATAAGATTCTAACAGATGGCGGTATAAGATAATTCGTTGACTTAAAGATGTGTGTATCGGACTGATTGTGAGCCACAGCAACAAGTTGTGGGACACCCCTAGTTATTATTTATTTATTTATTTATTATACCATATATAATAATTATTAAATTCATAAAATTTATTTTATTTTTTTTTTTTTTACTTATATGAAATTATTATGTTAAATAAATTTAGATAAATTAATTAATTAATTAATTAATTATAAATTAAGTATAATAAATAATATATTTATTATTTATATTAATATTATATAATATTATAATTAATAATTATTATTTAATATTAATAATTAATATTTGATATAACATATATATAATTGTATTGTTTCTCTCAAAGAAGGGTAAAATGAAAAAGAAAAATGAAAGTTTAGTTGATAATTGAGAAATAATAATACAAGGTGGTAAAGGTGTTACATTATTCGTTGAATACCAGGTTGACTATTGTTGTGCTTTAATTGCAATGACGCAAGCTTCCTCGTCCTCTTCGAAGAGATCGATACCTCGCGTTCTATTTCCAGTACGAATTCTATCCGGTTGCGTAACGTTAAATTGTTTCGACAGATACACATTATTTATAGAACATTTCATATATATATAAATATATATATATACATATGCCCATAATTATGAAAGTGGTCTAGCATAAATCAAAATTAAAAAAAAAAAAAAAACAAATAAATTTATCAGTTATTCGAGAATGGTTTAGATTTACAATACGGTAGAATTTAAATTGTTTATTTAATTAATTTTTTATTTATTAATTATTATACGACAAGTTTATAGGTAGAAGTTAGTCGATATTTTTTCTTGATATTATACTTTTCGATATATTCGATATATTTCTCTTATTTCGTTAAGAGATATATATATATAAACTATAGACTTGTCGTATAACAATTTATAAATAAAAAATAATTAAATAAACCATTTAAATTGGACCGAATTGTAAATCTAAACCATTCTCGAATCCACCTGAAGATACACACAAAATTTCATTAAAATCGGTCCAGTCGTTTAGGAGGAATTCAATGACATACACACGCACAGAAGAATTATATATGTATAAAGATATGCCCATAATTATAAAAGTGGTCTAGCATAAATCAAAATTTCAAAAAAAAAAAAATAAATAAATTTATCAGTTATTTCACACACCACATTATTTTCAACTAAATTAATTCAATGTAATTTTCACACAATAATTTTAAAAGTGGTTAAGTCAAAATTGAAAAATAAAAAAAGAGAAATGAATTTATCACCACATTATTTTAAACTTAAATTAATTTGATATAATTTTCATGATATTTTCATGTGGTTCACAATCAGTCCGATACACACGTCTTTAAGTCAACGAATTACCTTATATCGCCATCTATTAGAATCTTATCGAACTAACAGAGATAATCATGACTCTTCTTTGTTAATAAACAAATAATTCGATTATAAATTAAGATATAAACTATCCTATCTTTCAAGTTGGATGAAACTGCACATTGTGTGTAAAGTTTTAATATAATCGGTTCAGTAGTTTAGGATTCCATTGCGGACAAACAACGTGACACGTAATTTATATACATTAAGAAGATATCTTTTCAGGTTATGTGGATTCCGTCAATAGGAAACTGTATTTGTCTTTTTATTTTTTAATATTATAATAATATAATAAGTAATATAAAATAATAATAATTAAAACAGTCAATCTGTTCACTAATATCATCCATTTTTTTTTTTTTAATCTCATTCGTTCAATCTACAGGTGGTACAAGGGTTGTTTCTTTTTTCTTATGCTATATTTTGTAATTATTGTTGTTGTCAGTTAGTTTTGTGTAAACTTCGTTTAAAAATATTCTCAAATACAATTCATGCGTAATGATGATAATTGATGATGATGATTATTATAAAAGAATTTCTATATGTGTGAGTGTGAAATTCGATGTAAGCGTAAAAACGATGACTTTGTTATTCGAGTACTTTTGAATTAAAAAAAAAAAAAAAAGAATAAGAAGAAGAAAAAAGAACAAAAAAAAAGTAATAAGAGCTTTGAAATGCTTTCAATTCTGCTTCTCTTGTTC